ACTTGAAGAAGGATATGAGTTTAAGGCAAGTATAGCATGGAATCTTCCTTGTTGACCTATACACCTTTAATCATTTAATTTATACTCCATGTGTCTACCTTGATTACCACTAAGGATTTCCTAGTATTTTGTTACCGTGTACCTTGATTCCTATGGGGTATTGCATTGGGTAGTATGATGATAGTGCTCAACCGCAACCATGATCTTGGAACTTGAAAAATGGTATATGCAATAAACACTAAAAGATGCATTTTAGCAACATGGAATCAGGGGGCTCGAGCATTGGGCTATTATTATGGTGCTATAGATTCCTCTCCCTAAGGACTTATCTGTAAGTGGTCATCCGGAACTTACAGTACAACTGTGAGGGCTACATGGCTCTGTCTTTAAGTCAAATATGAGGACCTTTTTTGAGCTTGTCAGTGGTTACTTTCATGGCGCAAGAGGGGCTCCGACTTGTATGACCTTGGCCTACCAATTTGAGTGCATTTTGGCTTCTTAGTCTTTTGTCAGTCACTCCTTGGAGGGGAGTTCATGCTTATTGATGGGGAAACCTAACGGCCCTAACTTATTAGATGAACCTTTGAAAGGCTTTATAGTGAACCCTGTCAACCTTCCTAGGTTGTGGGTCAAGAGGCTAGCTACCTCGGGCGAAAGGGTAAATCACGACTCACAGTGAAAGTGTACAACATCTGCATAGTGTAAAACTGGTATATCAGCCGTGCTCACGATCACGAGCGGCCTTGGAACCCTTACTGAATAGATGATGAACACGGATGATATTGATGATGAAGATGCTCGCTAATGATTACTATTTATGCTATTCATTATTCATGTTTACATGATCATGTGTTTATGTGGGCTTATGATAAATTTGATGCTACTCAATTGCTAAAATCATGACTCACTAAAAGCTAACCGCAGTAAACCAGTGTCAGTCTTTTGAGCCTCATGAACCCCATGTTATATTTGTTGAGTACGACATGTACTTATGCTTGCTTGACTTTTCAATACTTTGGAAAAATCCCGGATGGTACCGGATTACTAGAGTTTGGAGGAATTAGGCTTGTGATCAACCAGCCAGTTGTCCCTGTGGAATTGGAGTCTTCATCCGAAGATTGGAGCTGTCTTTCCGCTGTTTGCTGTCTAAGGTTATATACTTTATACTAAGTATGTTATATATTGAGCATTGTCTTTCGATATTACCCTTATTTATAGCTATATGTGAGATTTAACTTCTTGGGCTCACATATAGTGTGTATCTGGTTTTGTTCTTAAAATCAGGTGCTACAATCTAATAGCTGCATATGATTCTCACCGACAGATTAGTCCCAACCAAAAGCCACATAGAGGGCCAAATGCTCTTAGAACAATAGTACAATACAACACATCCAGTTAGCCATTACTCCATTAGCATAATCAAGCTCATACGAACATGAACTCAAAACAGAAAAGCATCAAACCTTCTAATCTTGTGTTAGTAATTCATCACACATGGAATGAGGCCAGGGCACTTTTCAACATGGTCTCTCACCACTGTATTCAATCCGTCATAGATAACAAATGCATATAACCACAAATAAATAACACGATAGATCACAGTTGCAGAGTAGCAGTGGCACGCGGACCAGTGGTGAGCAAACCGCCACTGCTAGTGGGTGTCAGCTATGGGAGTAAGGAAAGGGAATAAATTTAGTGGCATTTAGGGTTCAAGTGCAGATACATGATGGGTGGGCCAATAGGGGAATTTTGCGAGGAACTCAATCCAATTTGCCAATGTGAGAAAGCTAATTTGGCTCGCCATCTAGACAAGAATATCCTTGCTGAACTAGGCAACCTCACTAGAAAAGGCGAGTTTTTCAAGTCCCTATAAAATAAGCTTGTTAGAATTTATTACTTAATCATCACTATCTCTAAGACAATAACACCTAGGGGCTGTTTGGATGAACTAGGAGTAACAACTAGTCCTATTAGCTCCTAAAAGTGAACTAGTGAACTAACAACTAGTCCATGACTAGTGGACTAAGAATTAGTCTGCCTATTTGGATACTTAGGGACTAAAAATTAGTCAACTAGTTGTTAGTTCTATGGATCCAAATAGAGCCCTGGATGGAGGGATTTCAGGAGGTAATGAATTTACCTTGGTCAAAGGAACATGAGGTCATTAGGCCTAAGTTAAGGCCCGTGCATGCTCGATGCAGGTGTGAAGGACAACTTAGGCCCTATTTGGATCCTTGCAACTAATAGTTAGCTATTAAAACTAGCTGAGGACCTATTTGAATCCTCAGCTAATAAACCAATTAATGTCTTACCTACCATCCAACTAACAATAGCTATTAGCGCGCTGGTTTCTCCTAGCTAACATAGCTAATATTTAGTTGGGTGGATCCAAATGGGGTCTTACTCACACAGAATCTAAAATGGGTATGTAGAAATCATGGCTATCCTTACTAAAATTATGATTATACTAGGGGCAACCAAGAGGTGGTTCATGGCCCCGATCACGGGACATGAGTGGGCTCAACATCAGTGTAATGACCATTTTGCTGAGGGATGATGGCCCCGATCACTAAAATTATGGCTATCCTCACTCAACAAGACATCTTTTTTAGTCAAAACAGATTAGTATTGAGCAAAATGTGCCAATAATAAGCAATAAGCCTTTCTTGGTTTTTCCTAGAGCACGGTATTGGGGTTTATGATATTGGGGCTAGCTTGTTTTGGATAACACCTTAGAAAGTTGCCTGGTCTAGGCAATATCTCAAACGTGAGATTTTGGTTGCATGCATGTGGTTGAATATAGCTACCTGGTTTTGACAACTTTTCTAGGACTTCAACCAAATAGACCCCCAATATGCACAAATCACTCTTTCTTCTTTTGTGTATATAATAATAAGAGCAGATACCCAACCTCACTATCACACGTCAGAATAGGATCAAAGGGTAGAGATTAAATCATGACACAAGTTTGGGAGATGCCTATAAGCTCATAGAATGCGCTCTTGTAGGCCCTGTTTGGTAAAACTATGGGGAGAAGCGCTTCCCTGAGATTTTGCACAAATAAAGGAAAAACACTCTCAAAATAAGCTAGTCTAATCCAATTTCTATGTTTTAGTTAAAAAAATAGGAGCTATGGGAGAAACTTTTCTAGAGAAAAGTTGGAAAAAGAAAGCATCTCATTTAGTTTCTAATTTCAGCTAATTTAGGCCACAAACAGTTTACAAGATGTACCAAACAGGCCCACGATCTCATCACACAAATGGTAGATCCCTCCTTCTTTTGAGTATATTACATATATTGCATACATCCTTGTAAAAGTGTAAAACACAAAACGGGACAAACTAGCATATATTTCCTCCAATCTCAATTGTAAGAGCTTGTTTGGATTCTCAAGTCTTAAGTTTAGATGACTAAAGTTGATGAGGATTACAACTTTATACCACTTTAGCTCACCTGTGTGGTCTAAAGTTTTAGGACATGGTGTAAACTTTACACACCACTTTGGACCTCCTGTTTGGAGCCACATGAGCTAAATTGGTCTGAAGTTTAGTGAAAAAAAATTTAAACCATGGGATCAAGCAGGGCCTTAGTCGTGTGACTTACAGTCTGATGATGAACAAAACTAAAACGAGTTATAATTTAGAGTGCAGGCGGTTGGTTACCACCAGAGCTGCACGTGTCAGTGGTTTACCATCGAAGAACCATCTCACTTGTAGCGCTGCAAGTAGTCCACCAGCTCATCGACGTACTGCTCCTGCCTCACCCTGTCCCCGACAACCTTCTGCAGCTCCGTGGCGTTGCGTGAGAGCGCCTCGCCCTCCTCGTTCGCCATCATGACCCGCCGCACGGCCACCGCGACGTCGGCCGCGCGGAACGACCCATCGTCGTCGTTCCTGGGCACATCGACTTCGGCCCCGCGCGCCGCCACCTCCCGGGCGATGAGGCCCTGGTCGGCCACGAACGGCAGCATCACCAGCGGGCGCCCGAACCGGAAGAGGCCCTCCACGGTGGAGCCCCAGCCGCAGTGTGTCAGGAAAGCGGCCACAGCGCCGTGCGCGAGCACGCGCACCTGCGGCACCCAGCCGGCGCGCACCACCCCGCGCCCCGCGACACGCTGCTCGAACCCGCCGGGGAGCAGCGGCGCGCCGGAGTGGTCGCTCTCGCTCGGTGGCCAGAGAGCCCAGAGGAAGCGCGCCCCGGAGAGCTCCAGCCCGTGCGCGAGCTCCCGGAAGTCGAAACTGGTCCGCCGTCACGGGCGCCTCGCTCCCCAGCGCCACGTAGACGACGGACCTCCGGGGCTGCTCGTCCAACCACTGCATCAGTGGCGCCAAGGACTCACCGTCTCCGTCTTGGGCCGGGGCGGCGTCGTCGACGACGTCACCGGGCAGGAGGAGGCCGGCGGGGACGACGGGCTTGGCGAAGAGGTCTGCCAGGAGAGGGAACAGCCGCGGCTCGGCCTCCGGGCAGCTGCGGTGCACTATGAGGCGGCAGGACGGGTGAGGCAGGCGCAGGAGGCGGTCGATGTCCGACACGCCAGAGGCGTTCGGCCGGAACCCGCGGGCGATGCCCTCGGCCTCGTAGCGGCGGTAGCAGAGGTTGGATGGAAAGGGAACCCACGGCGGCTGCACCATGTAGTCCTCCGTCGTCGTGCGGGGGTGTGCCTCGTTCTCGTGCTTCGGCCAGATGTACGCCAACAGGGCTATCGGGAAGATGAGAAACATGGCGCACGAGATCTTGACAGTTGCATGGCACACACATGAAAAAAAACATGGGTGCGATTTTTAGTTTAGTTGGCAAATGGTATTTTTTTTACGAAGTAGGAAGAAGGAAGCAGTTTATTACATGCGAGTCTGGCTTCCTCGAAAACTCGTCGCCGGCCTCGCCGTCATCGCTGCCCCTAGCCGTGAGTCCGTGACAAACAGGGATTTGAATGGCGCGGCGAGGCCGTCGAAGGCCGTTTTGAGGAGGTCGACCTTCTCCCGCGGGACGTCGGCCGTCGACTAGGCGCCGTCAGGCAGTCCCTGGACCGCCGGCAGATCAAGCGTGACGACCCGGACCCGCGCCGATAGCTCCGGCGGGACGGCGCCCAGCCTGGCGGCGTTCCTCGGCGTGGCGACGAAAGTGAAGGCGTGGCCGCGCCGCGCCAGCCGCTTGGAGAGCTCGAGGAACGGGATCATGTGGCCGAACGCCAGCCATGGGAACACGACAATGTGGAGAGACGACGAAGCTCGTTGGCTTTCTCCCATGGCTGATCTTAATTTGCATTGATTGCTAGAGACAGTGCTCGATATGAGATAATAATGTCTCCAGATTGAAGAGAGCAATATGGCATGCATTGTTTGTAATACCAGTACGACATTGATTGATTGATAAAAGAAAGGAGCTCGTTGACGATGCATGTACTATATTTAGAATTATTATGCAAAATATTGTAAAGCGTGATCTGCGTGTGTTAATACTTTAATCAGGTTGAAACCAACTGATTTGTTCTTTAATGTGTACAAACTCTATTCTATCTAGGTTCTATGTTTCACAAACCACCCCATTCTAGAAACATGACAAGTTCATCTATGAACTTTGATATTCCTCATATTTGAACTAATTACTAGCTTTGTGAGAGATGAGGTGTTGATTAATTAACCAAGATTTATTAATTATTACAAACTAAACAAAAAGAAGAAGAGTAAGAAAGTAATGGACCACCAGTTCCTTAAACCAAACAGCCCTTGAGTGAGCTACATCGTCCCAAAATTCAACTATCACTCCCGAATCCATATCAGCAAGGGCTGCACTTGCCTTTTTTTTTCTTCGTCTAATAAAAATCACGGCAAAAAAATTTTGACGTACTTTCTAAAAAAAAGTCCACATCAGCAAGATATATTGCCTTGCAACTTAATATTTATTGATCTATCTAGTGTTAAGTAAAATAATAATATATATTAGTATAGTCTACACTTTTCAGTTTCGAATCTGATCTCGTATTGATTTCCAATTTTAAACTACTAAACCTATTATTACTAATACACCTTAGAAGATGTCGTTGAGGTCAACTACACGGGCGTCTAGTGCACAGTGGTTCCAAGTGCTTTTGAACGAAAAGCAAGCATACAGGGAGGAATACTTCGGCCTTCCACCTGGCCGAGCGCAGCTCAGAGAGCTAAGTGGTCATGAACATATATGGTTGAATAGAAATGATATGGATATTAACAAGACTAAGTCTAATATATATTTGCAGATAATTTTCAGGACGGTATACTGGATCCGACAGTGGTCCCTACTGCATACACTACTCGAAAACTGTACTTTGCCGAGTGCCTGAGACTTTGCCGAGTGCTTTTTATTGGGGCACTCGGCAAAGCAATATTTTGCCGAGTGCCGCACTCAGCAAAATAAAGCACTCGGCAAAGGTGGATTTGCCGAGTGCCAGACACTCGGCAAAGCCTGGCTCTCGGCAAAGCTGGGCTTTGCCGAGTGCCGCGGCACTCGGCAAAAGGTGGCCGGCCCGTGACGGCGGCCACCTGCCGTCAGATTTTGCCGAGTGCCATCCACCTGCCGTCAGATTTTGCCGAGTGCCTAACGGATGGCACTCGGCAATTTTTTTTATTTTATTTTTAAAAACTTATTTTGCCGAGTGCCAGCCCCAGGCACTCGGCAATTTTTTTTTCATTTTCAAAAACATATTTTGCCGAGTGCCAGCCCATGGCACTCGGAATTTTTTTTTTAACTTATTTTGCCGAGAGAGAGACCAAGGCACTCGGCAAAAAAAATTTGATTTTTTAAAAACATATTTTGCCGAGTGTAAGTCTTGGGCACTCGGCAAAAAAAATTAATTTTTTAAAACTTATTTTGCCGAGTGCCAGCGCCAGACACTCGGCAATTTTTTTTTAAATCAACTTTGCCGAGTGCCCCCTATGCCGGCACTCGGCAAAGCCAGCCCCCATGGCACTTGGCAAAATATTTTTTTTTGATTTTGGGCCCAAATTTTTTTCTGTGGCCTTGTGACAGTATTTCAAACTCTATTTTAAAATTTGGGGCAATTTTGACTTTTTTTTGATATATTTCATTAGTTTATTTCGTTTCGTCGAATTTTTTGAGATATTTCAAATTTGAACTGCAGGTACATGGAATAATGGACTTTGGTCATCCAAAAATTGACACTCATTATATTTAGGGTATGTTTAGGCCGTATCCAGGAACTCACATGAAATCTCGAGCATCTCGTTGACGTAACATGTCGAGGTACTTGCCGAAAATGTGATTTTAAATTATATAAAATGCAAACGAAGTCCGAAAATCACGAAACTTATCGAGGCGTCGTGTTATCGCATCTGGAGGCTGTGGCAAAAAATTGTGAAGGTTTCGAGCAAGTTGTGACGTCGGATGCCAAAAACCCAAACATCTCCACATGTGATCACTCCTGATGTGGCATCCGACGTCGTGGGATGTCAGGAGTCATCACATGTGGAGATGTCTGCGTTTTTTGCATCCGACGTCACAACTTGCACGAAACCTTCACAATTTTTTACCACAGCCTCCACATGCGATAACACGACGCCTCGACAAGTTTCGTGATTTTCGGACTTCGTTTGCATTTTATATAATTTAAAATCACATTTCCGGCAAGTACCTCGACATGTTACGTCAACGAGATGCTCGAGATTTTATGTGAGTTCCTGGGATACGGCCTAAACATACCCTAAATATCATGAGTATCAATTTTGGATGACCAAAGTCCATTATTCCATGTACCTGCAGTTCAAATTTGAAATATCCCAAAAAATTCGACGAAACGAAATAAACTAATGAAATATATCAAAAAAGTCAAAATTGCCCCAAATTTTAAAATAGAGTTTGAAATAGGCCATAGAAAAAAATTTGGGCCCAAAATCAAAACAAAAAAAAATTTGCCGAGTGCCATGGGGGACACTCGGCAAAGTGGGCTTTGCCGAGTGCCGGCCCAGGGGGCACTCGGCAAAGTTGATTTTCAAAAATAAAAAAAATTGTCGAGTGCCTAGTGCTGGCACTCGGCAAAATAAGTTTTAAAAAATTAAAAAAAAATTGTCGAGTGCCCAAGGCTTACACTCGGCAAAATATGTTTTCAAAAAATAAAAAAAATGCCGAGTGCCCCTTTCTGGAGCACTCGGCAAAGGCCCAATAGAAAATGGGCCTCCGGCCCAAAATCCCGCCCCAACCCCAGAACCATATTCGCCCGCCCGCTCTGCTCGGTCCCGACGCCCGCCGCGCATCCCCGGCCCGCCAACGCCGCCACCACCGCTCCATCATGGCATGGTGAGCCCTCCCGCCACGCGCCTCCCTCCCTCGAAAGCACCCCCGGCCCGGCCAGCCGCCCGGCCACGTGGCTCCGGCATACCACGCCGGGTGAGCCCCCGCCCGTGTGCCCCCCGCCCAGACGCCTCGCCCCAAGCACCCCTAGCCCGGTCGCGCCACCGTCATGCGGCTGCTCCAACAGCTACACGCCTGGCAGCGAGCCCCGCCACTGCTACGCGCCCATCGCGCTTCGCCCGAAGCGCTTTAGCCCGGCCAGCCGCAGCTCCCCCCAGGCCACCCGGGTGAGCCCCCGCCACCGAAGCGCCACGCCCGAAAGCACCCCAGCCAGCCCGGCCGCCTGGCTGCAGGCGGCTCAATATAAGCGTCGCCGCCGCCATTGCTGCCGCGGCCGCCGTCAGCGCGTTTGCCACCACCGGCACGCGCAGCCATCCTCCCCCTGACGCGCTGCCCCAAGACGCCCGTGCTCCCCCCGCTTGCCGCCGGCTTGGAAGAACGAGGAGGAAGAAAAGAAGAAGAAGAAGAAGGAGGAGAAGAAGAAGAAGAAGGAAGAAAAAAGAGGAGAAAGAAAGAGAAGGAAAAGGAAGAAGAAGGAGAAGGAAAAAAGAGAAGAAAAAGGAAGGAGGAGGAGGAGAGGAAGGAGGAGGAGAAGGGGAGAGGGGGAGGAAGCCAAGGTGGAGGGGAGGAGGAGGTGCCTCGGCCATCTTCTTCGCGTGCCCATCCCGTCGATGCCCCTACCGTCACCGAACCGCCTACGAGCGTGGGCAAGGTATTTCCACCCTTTCTCCGCTTGTCGGCCTTCGTGCCGTTGTGATGTCAGCCATCGTGCCGCTGTGCTTATCGGCCTTCGTGCCGTTTGTGATTATCGGCCTTCGTGCCGTTGTTTTTTGCAGGTTTTGGAAACCTCCCCGTGCAGGGGAGGTGCTGCCGAAATTTTGAACTTATAGTGTCGTGTTTCTTCTTTTGGAGAGAAGGACCTGTCGCAGGTGACCCGGAGGTCCCTGGTCGTCTTCGTTGGCATCGCGGGTCTGCCTGCACTACGTTGTCTCGCCACTGCGTCGACTCACCACTACCTCGCTAGCCTGACTTCACCGACACCCTAGGTATAAATCATCTCTTTTTCCGCTTGTCTATCGTCGTAAATCGGTGTAGCCTAGTTAGGCGTCTCCCGTCCGAAAGAGATATCTTTGGAGGTATGCAGATCTTTGCATATCTATGAGTGTTTCTGTTTCGGATTGTCCACGTTTTTTGGACAGCCCGCGGATGCGTAGATGGGTTAGTTTCCATGGTCCACTCCGGTCCGAGATGGTGTTTCAGCATCACCCCCCTGTTGTTCTCTGGATTCACACTCTCCCTTGCAGGACGTGTATCGGGAGAACAGCATGGAGGTGCTACCAAAATTCTGTCTCGGATAGGAGCAGAGCATGGAACCTAACCTCATCTATGGATCCGCGGGTGGGATTAGAACCTATCCTCACCTATTAGAGAGTAGGGACACCGCGTAGATGCAATTGATGGTGACTCATATGTGCTGATACGTCTGTTAAAGGATGGAGGACCGTGAGTGGATGTACACGCTCCGAAGAGATGAGCATGATTATGACTTGCTGTTTATAGTCAAGGTCGAAGAATTCTTACAGCATGCATTTGGCAAGAGTGCTGGAGGCCATTCTCTAGTGGTTTGTCCATGCAGCGGTTGTGACAACAGAAGAAGGAAAGATGGGTTAACCATGGGTAAACATATTGTGAAGTTTGGATTTACTCCGGGCTACCACCGGTGGATCCACCATGGTGAAGACGATCGTATCAGGGAGGAGGTGGTGAGACCACAGCTCGAGGCTTTCGATGATGATGTTGGGGTAGCAGACATGCTGGATGACACGCACCATGCTCAGTTCGCTGAAGGACGTGACAAGGAGGAGATGGAGGCTACCGCAGATGCCTTCTACGTGATGTTGGA